CAGGCGCCTACCACCACACCCGGCTAATTTTTTGTGTTTTGAGGAGAGATGAGGTTTTGCCATGTTGGCCAGGCTGGTCTCAAACTCCTGAACTCAGGTGATCCACCCGCCTTGGCCTCCCAAACTGCTGCAATTACAGGCATGACCTACCATGGCCAACCTCTTCAGGGATTGTAGAAGACATGGTTGATGACATTCAAATTCCCACTCTAAATCTCCCGCAGCTCCGAGGATCAAACTTAAGACTCTCTGTCAACTGTTGTCAACATTTAATTATACTCACCTCATCCTCATTAGACTCTTCTGTCTCTTTAGCTACCCCCTGATAGCTGTGAGAAAGTTCACAGGGCAACATCAGGGAGGGTAGCCGAAGACTTCCAACATCTCCTCTGTGTGATCTTCCCCAAGTGCTCCCTTTTGGAAATGTCAGGAGCACTGCGGGCAAATTGCAGAAAAAGCTGGAGGGGCCTCCGTCGGCATCCCAGCTCTGTGCCAGCGATTCTCTGATGAGACATCGGAATTTGGAGGTGGGATACAGAATCACTTGGGGAGTTTTTTTGAATTCCACATGCTGGTTCCTTCCCCAAACTCCCTGGAGACAGATCTCTCCTCACCCCCACCCTGGTTGAAAATCACTGATCTCGATGATTAGGAAACAGCTTTATTAAATTTAAATTTAGCGTGTGAGGTTGTGGATAACCCTATCTCTGTTTCCGAGAAACAACTGTTTACTATTCTAACACTACAGAAACCTGGCAACTGACTCACGGAGGACTAGCAAATGCCAGCTTATGTGCAGCTGCTCTGCAAGGGACCCCGGTCCTAAGCACTCCTACCCGTCAGCCTGGTGTCTATGTTAGAAGGGGTACAAGACCTAGAACTTTTGCAGAACCACAAAAGGCAGTCAGGACCTATTTTTAATGATCCTGAGGATTATATAGAAAGGAAATTCCATCAAGTCCATGTAGCTCTTAAAAAGCATTTTGTTCCACTCTTTTCTTCCCCTGCCCTTCCTGTTCTATTTCTGTATTTCCCTCTTTATGTTTATGGGTCCGGAACTGAATAGCAATGAAATAAAGATGATTGTCCTAAAGTGATGTTCCCGGGTAGAAAAATGGGTTCCTAAAATCCCCATTTCCACCATTGGGATGGCAATCTGGATAAAATTGCAGGGGGATTTGCAGGATCACTGAAGCTCTTGATATTCAGAGTGGGGATTTTTATTCTATTTTCACTCACTCTCGGGAAAATGTGATGTGCGTTATAGTGACATGGGTATTATGGCCAAATTTGTCAGTGAACTCAGAGCCTTGTTCACATCTTCTGTGTGAAACATTTACTGCAGGCAAAGCCCTCTGCTTGGATCCTCCTATTCTAAGCCACACACACAGCACGTGATGCTTGCTTTTGGAGTGGGGTCACTGGACAGTAGGGGCAAAGCAGTAACAGTATCTCTACAAGCGACATTATAGACATGCCATGCCGCGTGATCCCCACGGCTAAAATGGGACTCCTGGAGCTAGAGGGAATGGAAAGTGATGACGTGAGACGCCTGAATGATATTGTAACCTCAGATGATGTTGGTGGCCAGTACTATATAAGCTAAATGAACTGGGGCTAAGTGCTTGTGACGACATCACGGGCAGAGAATGTTATGAAGTCGTATGTCATTCTTGGCCTGAAGTGTCCCATCTAATGAGCCTATTTGTCATGGAAAAAATAAAATTAAGTGTGTAGACGTCTTCAGTTGGAAATGTGCTCTGGAAGAGAATACAGTTTATGCATTTAAAGGATGAATACGTTTTAGCAAAACTTGTCCAACCCCATTACCTCTGCGTGCATCTTTTTTTTTTTTTTTTTTTTTTTGAGACGGAGTCTTGCTCTGTTGCCCAGGCTGGAGTGCAGTGGCTGGATCTCAGCTCACTGCAAGCTCCGCTTCCCGGGTTTACGCCATTCTCCTGCCTCAGCCTCCCGAGTAGCTGGGACTACAGGCGCCCGCCACCTCGCCCGGCTAGTTTTTTGTATTTTTAGTAGAGACGGGGTTTCACCATGTTAGCCAGGATGGTCTCGATCTCCTGACCTTGTGATCCGCCCATCTCGGCCTCCCAAAGTGCTGGGATTACAGGCTTGAGCCACCGCGCCCGGCCTCTCTGTGTGCATCTTGAACATTTGTGACCCCAGCGGACCAGACATCAGCCAACATCCATTTAATACTTACCATGATCAAGGCACTGAGCTACAACCAGACAGATAAATAAAGATAAAACCAACATTGAAACTGCCCTAAAATAATTATACACTAGTAGGCAAGGACATATATGTGATGAGTCATTTTATGTATACACATATAAATATATGTTTATACACCTGCCTGTCTCAGAGTAGCTGCTATGGTTCCATTCATTATGTAGGTGATGCATAGATGAACAAGCTACATACGTGTGAGCAGGGCCATTTTTATGGAGGTTGTACAGGAATACCCTTCTAGAACATTTTTACCCCAGAATTCTGAAAGCCGGGGCAGGATTCCAGAACTTTCTTTTTCTTTTTTCTTTTCTTCCTTTTTTTTTTTTCTTGCTTACTTTTTAATTTTTACTTATTTATTTATTTATTGAGAGAGAGTTTCACTCATCACCCAGGCTGGAGAGCAGTGGCGTGATCTTGACTCATTACAACCTCCACCTCCTGGGTTCAAGCTATTCTCTGGCCTCTGCCTCCCAAGTAGCTGAGATTACAGGCATGCACCACCATGCCCAGCTAATTTTGCAGTTTTAGTAGAGACAGGGTTTCACCATGTTGGCCAGGCTGGTCTTGAACTCCTGACCTCAGATGATCTGCCCGCCTCGGCTTCCCAAATCTAGCCTGGGTGACAGAGCAAGACTCCGTCCAAAAAAAAAAAAACTGTTGCTTTAGAGTCAGGGTTTTACTCTGTCACCAGGCTGGACTGTGGTGGTGTGATCACAGCTCACTGTAGCCTTGAACTCCTAGGCTCAAGTGATCCTCCCACCTCAGCCTCTGGAGCAGCTGGGACATCAGGCACATGCCACCACACCCTGCTAACGTTTTTATTTTGATTTTTTTGTAGAGAAAGGGTCTCACTATGTTGCCCAGGCTGGTCGCAAACTCCTGGCTTCAAGTGATCCTACTGCCTTGGCCTCCCAAAGCAGTGGAATTACAGGGATGAACCACTGTGCCTAGCCTCAAAAAGTAATAAACTCTATTTTCAAGCTTATCTTATAGCTGCTTATATAATTGAATGAATGGTATTTTTATCAGATGCTTTTTTAAAGTCAGTACACAATTCCATCTATTTCACAGTAAATGCTACAGAAATAGCAGCTGAAGAGCAGGAAGCTGTGGCTTACTGTTCAGTGACTTGTGATTGTAATTAAATGATTAGTGTTCCACTCCATTCCTTCCAACTTGTCTTCAGTCTGGGGAGGCAGGGAGGACAAACACAAAATCCATTGAGTCATTGAGGAGTTTACTTTGCCATTGACCCTGGCAATCGATTGTCAGGGAGACGTGTGGATTGTGATGAGAACATGACTAAGGACAAGCTTCCTCCAAGGTAGTGCTCTTACGTTTTCATTCAATGAAAAACTATTGGTGTTGTATAACCCAATGAATCATTTGTATATTTTGAATCTTTAAAAATATATACAAGTGCTATTTTGCCTGAAGTGCTGTTTATTTATAAGGTTTTGACCATTAACCTGACTCAATTAAAAATTTAATTAATTAATCAATTAATTTTATTTATTTATTTATTTATTTTATTTATTTATTTTTTTGAGTCCGAGTCTCGCTCTGTCGCCCAGGCTGGAGTGCAGTGGCCGGATCTCAGCTCACTGCAAGCTCCGCCTCCCGGGTTCACGCCATTCTCCTGCCTCAGCCTCCTGAGTAGCTGGGACTACAGGTGCCACCACCTCGCCCGGCTAGTTTTTTTGTATTTTTTAGTAGAGACGGGGTTTCACCGTGTTAGCCAGGATGGTCTCGATCTCCTGACCTCGTGATCCGCCCGTCTCGGCCTCCCAAAGTGCTGGGATTACAGGCTTGAGCCACCGCGCCCGGCCATTTATTTATTTATTTATTTATTTTTGAAACGGAGTCTCGCTCTTGTCAGTCAGGCTGGAGTTCAGTGGTGTGATCTCAGCTCACTGCAACCTCCACCTCCCAGGTTCAAGCGATTCTCCCGTCTCAGCCTCCCAAGCAGCTGGGACTACAGGCACCCATCACCATGCCCGGCTAATTTTTGTATTTTCAGTAGAGACGGGATTTCATCATGTTGGTCTGTCTGGTCTCGAATTCCTGACCTCAGGTGACCCACCCGCCTTGGCCTCCTAAACTACTGGAATTACAAGCGTGAGACACCACGCCCTGCCAGAAATTGAATTTAAACAGTTGCTTCTAATAATGATGGAATGAAGCTTTGGTGAAGAAGGCAAATGTGCCATTCAAAACCTTTGTGGTTTGTGCTGTTTTAGAAAAGCCATGCATAGAAGTAGAACTTTTCTAGAAGTTCAGCAAAAGGCATAAAGACAAATTTGAAATATTTTCTCAAAGATTCTTGATTTAAAAAAAAATTTTTTTAAAGGCTAGGCACTGTGGCTCACACCAGCACTCTGGGAGGCCGAGGCGGGCAGATTGCTTGAGCTCAGGAGTTCGTGGCCAGCCTGGGCAACGTGGCAAAACCCTGTCTCTACTAAAAATACAAAAAATTAGCTGGGTATGGCGGTGTGTGCCTGTAGTCCCAAGTACTTGGGTGGCTGAAATGGGAGGATCATGTGAGCCTAGAAAGCAGAGGTTGCAGTGAGCTGAGATCATGCCACTGCACTCCAGCCTGGGCGACAGGGTGAGACCCCATCTCAAAGAAAAAAAAAAAACTTAAAAAGGCAAGATTACCAGAAAATGACTAGCTTGCTTTTCTCCAGTTGACACTCTCTTGGCCTTGCCTTGTGGTAGCTATTCTTTTTTTTTTTTTTTTTTTTTTTTTGGAAAGCATTTTCAAACTTTATTTACAACTGTCACAGTGACAAAAAGTAGTTTGGAAAAAAAAAAATGCTAGTTTCTCCCTGAGCCTCAAAAAAGAACAGATAGAAGTTACAGGAGGTTTCGTCTCACAACAGGCATTTTTACTGAAATACCTAAGAATTTTTTCAAATACAATCAGTTAGAAATACACCACAAATTACTTGGGGGAAAAAAAAAAAAAAGGAGGGCCAGATAGGAGCTCAGCCACTTGTTCCAAGAGCAGCTGGGTCCCCCCAGCAGGCTCCACCACTGAGGGTCCTGACATTAGCTGTCAGCCCCTGGCCTGCTCAGACTGCAAACGGTCATACAAAGTGGTCTAGGGACCAGCAAAAAGAATAAACCACCCCCATAAACAGACACATACACAAAGTAGATTTGTTACGCAGTTTACAAGCACGTTCCCATCACACAGCAAGACCGGGACAGGTGATTCAGGGGAGCAGATAAGGGAAGACACCAAAACACAGGAATTGAAAAGGCAAGACTCCCGCCTCCGTCCACTAGGGGAGGCGAGGGAATGAGAGTACGGATGAACCACTCTCTGCAGCCAAAACAGAATGAAGCGGGGAGCAAGAGAGAGGAAAGCCCCTCCCGGTGCAGGCTGTAGGCCTCTCCCACTTCTGCGAGGAGTTGGAAGAAGTTATTGCCATTGATGTGTGTCACACAGGCAGACAACAGAGGGAGGAAGCAGGGGGTGCCGGGACCATCGGCTTCCCAGAACAGAATCCCGCAGACTGCTGTGTCCACAGCACACCCTCGTCCTCCTGCCCCGGCATCCCCAGAGCCACAATGACCTTGAGGTATTAAATACAGCTATATACACATGTCCAGAACTGAGGGTCAACCTGGACTGACTGGAGACCTGAGGGGACAAGCTGCATGCCTTGGTTGGCCGAGTTTAGCTCAAGGAAGGCTCTGAGTCCACCTCTTGGCCACACGGTACTGCTCTCGGGTGGACTGAAGCGTTTGTCCTGCAACCTGCTGCTTCAGATGGCTCTTAGCTACGACAAGAAATGCTAAGTCCAAAGGCCAACTTTCTCATACAACTGGTGCCCTTGCAGGAAGCAGTGGGAGGTGGGGAGGGATGAGGACCACTGTTGAGTAAGGACAGTGCAGGTCCCTTGCCATGCCTCCCTTCTGTCCTTGTCCAGGAACAACATGGGGAGAAGCCAGGGACCTCATGGCATCCTTTAGTCTCAAACTCGACCCCAAGGCTGCCACGAGAGCCTTGTCCCCACCATGCAAGTCACCTCCCCAACGAGACACAGAAAAAGCCACGTCTGCTCTCCACTTGGCAACCACAAGAAAAACAGACCAAGAGCCCCCATGAGTGTGAGTACTGCAGCTGGGCAGACTGGCGGGAATCCGCAGCTGAGCTGGGGACCCATGTGCCCACGGCTGCTGTGGCTGGGGCAGGGAAGGTGGCGGTGAGGAGGAGGAAGGGCCGGCCTGGGAGAGCACACCCACTCCACCTTGGGAGCAAGTCTTGGGAGGGCAGCAGTTGAGGGAGAGACCTTCATGCCAAGTGTCCACCCTGGGGCTTCCAACAAGGGCAGGAAGTGCTCTCACTACTCCTAAAAAGTGCTGGGAAGCAAAATGGATATATCAGGGAGAAAAGCTGAAAAGCACTGCCTCTTAAAAACCGATCACCTTGGCTATGTGAGCCTACCACAGCTGGGAGCAGACAGGCCACGGAGAAGAATGGGGTGACCTTGCCTTTCCTGCACATCACCTCCAGCTGGCTTTGCAGGCAGCCAATTGCTCCTGCTCTCCTTTCCTCTCCTCCCTGTCATAGACCAACACACCTGAAATGAAAGCAAAGGGTGGGGTGGGTGAAACTGGAGAGAGAGATGAAGACCTTGCTTTCCGACGCACCAGCAGCCGGAGTGAATGTCTGCTGAGCGCATCCTGGCCGCAGTTCTCTGCTCAACGTTTTCTTAAAAACATGTATTTTTTTCTTTTGCCTCATGTTTGTTTTCTTACCCCAAATGTTCCTTGCTTGCTTTGCACATGCCCCACCTCCCACCCACCAAGACCCATTGGAATCCCACCACTGCCTCTACTAGGCTGCCTGAGTTCAGATAATGATCTCAAAAACAGCACTCGCTCCCCCCACCCCCTAACCCCTGGCTCTAAGCAGCTTCCTTTCTCAGAGGGCCTTGCAAATTGTCAGAGGGCTCCACTGCTCGGCAAGTTTCAAAAAAAAAAAAAAAAAAAAAAGGACAAGAAAAGAAAAGAAAACCAACTCGGTGATCTGCAGCTGCAAAACAGAAGCCTTGTTTGACATTTTCAGAACGATTGTGGCTCACTCTCTTCTTCCGTCACGATGGGAAAAACACAGTTCAGGAACAGATGCTGGCTGGTATGACCCATGGGAGTCCACAGGGACTCTACTGCTCTTTATTTTCTTTCGCTGTCTCTTCGCAGTTGTCTTGCTCATCCTCCTGGACCAGGAACTCCTCAGGGGGCCACCGGAGCTCCCCGCTCTCCACCTCCCCTTCTGTGGGTTCCACCACTATGGAGGGGAGGCGGTCCTTCAGTTTGCAGCAGCGGTCAAAGTCTGACGGGTCTGGGAAGATCTGGTAGGAAAGTCCATCCTTGCGGGGGCTGAGGCCGATCTCCTCCATGGGCTGGGTGTTCATCATCACCTCAGTCATCTCGGCCGATCTCAGATAGTCAGGGCAGTGAATGGGGAAATACATAGACATGAAGTCCTAGGGCAGGCTGACACACGCCCCTGTGATTTAAAAACGGTCCCTGCGTCCCGAGTGAGGATGACACGGGCGCAGACAGGCACGGCAGGCGGCCTAGTGCGGGCACCTGACGCTCGCCGTCCGCCTTCCCAGGACAGCCCCACGGCCAGCAGCGTCTGCAAGGCGGACACAACTACCCGCTCTCCACTGAGCTCTCAGCCCCCTTGTGGTAGCTATTCTTTCCACCAAAGGCCAATAGCACTCCTGTGGGGTTCTTCGGCACTTGGCACCAAGCCCAGGGAGTCACCTAGGTAGATAGAACAATACTATCTGCCAGGCCACCTGCCTTGCTGTGTGCCACGCCTCCATGGGCAAGAAGGTTTCTATCACGTACTGATTGCAGTATGTTTATTTATGCTGTGCACTTACCTTGTCCGCAGCCGGTGATTCCAGGGATTCCCTTTGCCTCACACTATAACACTGGAGGTGTGCACACACACGCGCACACACACACACACACACACACACACACACGGGTGCGCATGCATGTTTTCCCTCTCCCTCCCCTGTTCCTTGGCTGTTGCAGAAGCATCACTGCATGATACCATGTCCGAGTCTAGCCGGGGCTGTCTACCACATTACCACCCCCACCACCCCTCCCAGTTCTAGTATCAGTATCTGACGGAAATAGGACCTTCAGTGGAAGAAGGGAGGAGAAAGAGACTAAGACAGAGAGAGCAACTAAGAGAGAGAGAGAGACTCTCCATCTCCTCCTCCTCATTCCATCCCCACTGCTCCTCTCACCCCAACTCTAGTCCATAGTGTTGAGTACGGAGGAAAGAAAAGGATGGAAAGACACTCGTCTTGGTCTCTGCCACTGCATCTCCCTCCAGTTCCTACCACCTCACTCCCCCAACATGTCCGTGGTGAGGAGAGTAGGAGGGAGATGGGAAAATGATTGATCTGAAGAGAGTGAAGCCCAGAGCTGCCCTCACTGCTCCCAACCTTCTGAGCTACATGAAGGGGTCAACATACTCTTCGCCCTGCCCCATCAGTTCCCATACCCTCTCCACTCCAACAGCTCCTCCCCTAATCCTTTCCTCTTTAGGATCCCCAGTCCTTGCTTCCCACCTCTTCCAGCCTCCAAGGCTCAATAACCTCTGCCTCTGGCTATAGGATCCTTACTGGTGGTATAGACCTGGGAAGTTTGTAATCTTGGTTGTAGGACCGCAGCTATGGAGACATAGGTCTTCCACGTCCAGAGTTGGGACTCTGTCACAGTGGGTTTTGCTCCCATTTCCACAATAGCTATTGAATAAAGTGCAAATTTCATGATGATACATAGGCTCGTTACAACCCGGCCCCGTTCTTCCCACCAGCCACATCTCCTGCTCTCCCTCCTTCTTGCGCCCTCCCTGCATCCAAGCTACGACACCATTTATATTTTTGTTCATGCTAGTTCTGTTATTTTTCAACTTTTTAACTGTGATAAAATACACATAACATAAAAGTTACCATCGTAACCTTTCTTTTTTTTTTTTTTTTTTGAGACGGAGTCTCACTCTGTCGCCCAGGCTGGAACCTCCACCTCCTAGGTTCAAGTAATTCTCTTGCCTCAGCCTCCCGAGTAGCTGGGACTACAGGCATGTGCTACCACGCCCAGCTAATTTTTGTATTTTCAGTAGAGACGGGGTTTTGTGATGTTGGCCAGGCTGGTCTCGAACTCCTGACCTCTGGTGATCCACCCATCTTGACCTCCCAAAGTGCTGAGATTACAGGCATGAGCCACGGCATGTGGCCTGCAAATACTACACCACTTGTATAAAGGACTGGAGCATCTGTGGATTTCAGTATCCATGTGGGTCTTGGAGCCATTTCTCTGCAGATACCTAGGGACGACTGTGCCATATTTTATCCGTCCATTCACCTGTCAGTGGGTACTTAGGTTTCTTCCACCATGCTATTTCTTTTGTGTGGAATGCTTGCCCTTCACCTCCTTACCCATTTGCTAGCAACTCATTCTTCAAGGAGCAGCTAAAATGTCCTTTGTGGCTCTCCAGGATCTGCTTCTCCTTCTCCCTCCAGGTAGAATTTACTGCACCCAAGCCCACGTTTCCATACTTCTCATGTACACTCCTATTAGTACATTTATCACACAGTAGGAAATTTTTTGTTTATGTCCTTCCCTCCTCTATGCACAATATACATCCACAGGGAGTTATTGGAAAGTCAAAGGATATGTCTGCTCCATTTTTAATTCCTAGTGAACTAGTGTTTGGTAAAATAAGTGTTTGATGAATAGAGGTAAGTATATAACATCGTTTATCAGTTCCACAATGTAGACATGTTGTAGATTATTCATTAAATTAAAAAAAAGTATACCCACCATGTGCTGGGAACTATTCTAGATACCACAGATACAGCCGTAAGAGTGACAGATAAGGTACTCACAGTCATGGACAGTGCATGGTGGGGGATGGGCAAACAAGCAAGCAAACAAATAAATGAATAAGATTATTTCAGGGAGTCTTAAATTATGTTATCGAAGTACTACAGGGCGATGTGATAGAGTGTTTAGGTGGCATACTTCCCATTGACTGGTGACAGAAGGCCATTCCAAGGAAATATTAGTAGCATTTACTCTGAGACTAGATAATCAAAAGGAGCCAGTGAATATCTGGGAGGCACCATATTCTAGAAGGGGAACAGCTATTGCACAGCCCAAGGTATGAACAAGATTGTCATGTTTGAGAAACAGAAGAGTCAATGTTACTGGACAAAAGTAAGAAAGGGAATGTTATGGAGTGAATTTTATCCAACTGTTGGATAAAATTCATATGTTGAAGCCTTACCCTCCAATTCGATGGTATTTAGAGATGGGAGTTTTGGCAGGGAGGTGCTTAGGCTTAGATGAAGTCATGGGGTAGGGCTCTTATTTTTTTGTTTGTTTGTTTTTTGAGACAGAGTCTCGCTCTGTTGCCCAGGCTGGAGTGCAGATCTTGGCTCACTGCAACCTCCGACTTCCCAGTTCAAGTGATTCTTCTGCCTCAACCTCCCAAGTAGCTGGGACTACAGGCATGCACCACCATACCCGGCTAATTTTTCTATTTTTAGTAGAGACAGGGTGTCACCATGTTGGCCAGGCTTGTCTTGAACTCCTGACCTTGTGATCCCCCCGCCTCGGCCTCCCAAAATGCTGAGATTATAGGCGTGAGCCACCATGCCCAGCCTGAGGGTGGGGCTCTCATGATGCAATTAGTGCCCTTATAAGAAAAGATGTCAGGGCTGGGCATGGTGGCTCACACTTGTAATCCCAGCACTTTGGGAGGCCAAAGTGAGCAGATCACCTGAGGCCAGGAGTTCAAGACCAGCCTGGCCAACATTGGGAAACCCTGTCTCTACTAATACAGAAATTAGCCAGATATGGTGGTGGGCACCTGTAATCCCAGCTACTTGGGAGGTTGAGGCAGGAGAATAGCTTGAACCCAGGAGGCAGAGGTTACAGTGCGCTGAGATTGCACCACTGCACTCCAGCCTGGGCGATGGAGTGAGACTCCATCTCAAAAAAAAAGAAACAAAGAAAAAGAAAGGACATCAGGGAGCTGTCATCAGGAAGAAACCAAACATTGCTAGAAACTTAATATTGGACTTTCCAGCCTCCAGAACTGTGAGAAAGTAAAATTCTGTTGCTTATGATGTTTTGTTATGAAATCCCAAGCTGATGCAGGGAACACCAGATGAGGTAAACACAGCAGGCAGGAGAGCAGATCTTTTAGGATTGTGAATTGTAATGTGGAACATGAAAACTTCATCATCTTCTGTGTGCTGGCTAGTGTCAGTTATCCCTTGCTGTATAAAAATCACCCCCAAAATTGGTGACTTGAAACAACTGTCCCCATTTATTTGCTCATGATTTTGCAGTTGCTCAGGACTTGGTGGGGATACCCTGACTCTGCTTCTTGCGGTGTTGGCTGAGGTCATACTTGCATCTACATTCAGCTAGCAGCTTCATTGGGGCTGGAACAACAAAGACAGCTTCCCTAACATACCCGGCACCTCAGCCAAGGTGGCTGCGATGGCTGGAGGCTCGCTAGGCCTTTCACTTCTGTGTGGTTTCTTGTGATTTCGTAGTCTATCCTGAACTCCTTTTTCACGGCAACTGGAATGCAAAAAGTTGAAAACAGAAGCCACAATGCCTGGGAATAGAAGTCCTAGAATGTCCCTTCTACTACACCTATTACTCACTATCGGTCAAAATAAACTCCTCTCCCAATACTCCTCAAAGACTCATCCAATTATGGCGCCTGAGTTGAAGTCCAGTTTCTTGTGATGTGCATCAGGTCCAAAGGTAGAAAAGTCTCCTCAGAGATGAGTCCTCTGGCTCTGGATACCTGCGAATTACTTTAGTATCTACCTCTCCTCCACCCAACATCTAAGGGTGAGACAGGGGTAGCTGCTATCTGTGGTCCATAGCAGTGACTGATTCATAGCAGTTAGGAAATCAACAAAACATGTATCGTGAGTTCCCTTGACTCGAGTCAGGAGCAGGAACACACAGAAAGCTCCTCGCTTAGGGTCCTCGTTTACAGGTTACTGCTCTCTGGCGTTGGTTTCCTGATCCAGTATTCTCCATTGCTCTTGGTTCCACCATCTGAGCTCCTGAATCTGCCTTGTGTTGTCTGCCCCTTTCCATAGTGATTGAGCAATGCTTGCACCTGGTTCTGCTTTCGACCAAAGGGAGCGGGAGTCCCGAAGTCTCTCTGCATTTTGAACTCTTTCTGCTTCCCTTGAGTCCAACTTGGTACAACTCCTTTAAAGTCTTTTATCAAATTCCAATCCATTTCCTTAAACAAAAGGCACATTCACAATTATCTTCAAGGTAAGCTCTTTTTCACTTAGGGCTACAAGTCAGGGTGCTGTGGAACAATGTTCCTAAGGTTCTCAGAAACATAAGAGAAAGGATCTGTGAAGTCCTTTACATTTTTATGTGACTTTGACAAAGGGCCTTATAGGGACATTTTGTTTTAATCTTGCCCCAAGGCTCTGTTATACTAGTCACATCCTGGATTTGATCTTTTCCCCGAGAGTATTTCTTACTTCAAGAATTTTTTTTCAGGGCCCGGTGCGGTGGCTCAAGCCTGTAATCCCAGCACTTTGGGAGGTCGAGGCGGGCGGATCACATGAGGTCAGGAGTTCGAGACCAGCCTGGCCAA